CCCTATTAAAAGTGGTCCCTTATTTGAAAATAGCATTTGGTGATTTGAGTAAGAATGGCCCCCATAGGCTCACATGTTTGAATGCTAAGTCACTATTTGTAAAGATTAGAAAGATTAGGAAGTGTGGCCTTGTTGGAGGAAGTGTGTCACTGAGGATGGAATTTCAGGTTTCCAAAGCCCATGCCAGGCTCACTCTGACTCCCTCTGCCTGTGGATCGGGACAGAGCTCTCAACTCCCGCTCCAGCACCGTGTCTCCATGATGATAAGCCTCTGAAACTGTAAGCAAGTCCTCAGCGAAATGTCTCCCCTTGTAAGAGTTGCCGTGGTCACGGTGGCTCTCCACAGCAACAGGGCAGTGACTAAGAGAGCTGCTGGTTATTTGGGTGCGTGTAGAAGCACAGGCGTGACAGAGAGCTTCGTGGGAAGCTCTTCCTACTCTTGTCGTTGATTTTGGACTGCTATTTGGTTGGTCGGTTTGGTTTTTGAGACAGATTTTTACAACGTAGCATAAACTAGCCTCTAGCTCACAATCCCTCTACCTCAGCGTCCTAAGTGCTGGGATGACAGGTGTGTGTCCCCCTACCCACCTGGTCTTCTGTTTAGGAGGAACAAAAAGAAAAGCTGTTTGTGGTCTGCTCACATCAGCTCTGAGGTGAGCGGGAGAGTTCACTGGCTGCCATAACTGGGCTGCTCACATCTGGGGTGGTGATGGGTGTAATACTGGAATGGAGGGGAACAGTCTGAGGCCTTCATCTTCCTTGTGGGCAGCCAGTGAGAGGAAGCTAACTATCTTGGAAAGATACATCACCTTGGAAATGCAAGTCAGAAGGGTGGGTCAGAAACCCTGTTTGTGCTACTGGACAGGAAAGTGGTCTGTGCAAATTACCCAGAAGCCGCAGAAGCAAGGTGAGTCATTGATCAGTATTTATTCCTTTTCTCCAATGTCTACTATAGTTCACAGTGGACTCACGGGCTACTAGGCTTTCCCCACTATTCCTCCCCCATTTCCTGTCCTCTTCCCTTCCCCCTCCTGTAAAAACCTTGAAAAAGTCAGCATGAGGTGCTTGGAGAATCAGCTCTGAAGGAGGGAGGAATCAGCATGCTTCCCAAAGCAGGTCAGGATGGTACACATGCTACACAGGCTCACGGGAAGGAGCATGCCAGACCACTTCAGACACGTCCAGGAGTACAGCTCCCACAGAGGCCTGGCAAAGTGATAATAAACAGCCACCACTAGAAAGGACACCCGGGTGTGAGGAAGGCTGGGTTTGCTGCGTACACATGACTTCACTGCAAATTGGCCGCTCCTCTCGGGGGAGAGATGGTAGGCTGCCGAAGATGGTCCAGCGAAGGTGCCCCTTCACGAACAGCAGCAATCAAACAGGCTAATGGGATACACGATTGCCGAAAAGTTGAAGGGAAAATGATGCGGAGACCATGGTAATGGCTTTGCATAAATCAGAAGTGTGGCTCTGCCCGGTATGCCTCATTCACTTTTGGTCACATCCTTTCCGAGGACTATTGCAGTCTGGGGAAGGTTCAGAGGAAAGAAATTGAATCACACCAGCCCCGAGCAAAGAGAAAGCCAGCACTAGGCCATTTCATCTCACATGAGGCCCGCAAGTGCACGGTGGGAATGGCGGGAGGAAGCAGGTGCAGGAGCATGGTGGGGCTAGCCAGGGCACACTTCCTAGGCCCTTTGTGAGGCCCACTTGCTCCGGCCATTAGCCTCCTCTACCAGTTTCCACACAGAAACTGCAGACCCAGAAGGCCACCTTCCCTGAGGTCTCTGTGAGGAGGGCCTGACTACAGGCAGCCTCAGGCCCAGCATGACTGCCCTCAAGTGTGGGGTTTCACCTCCATTTGAGAAGAAAGGCCTTCAACTACACGCCCTTCCAGAGGTCCATGTGCAGATTGGAAGAAGGTGCCCTGCCCTGTGTGTGGTGGTGCTGGAGAGCTGCATGTAGAATGGCATCTACATGGTGTTAGAAGCACGCTGGGTAGTGCAGGACCGGTGCATAGGACTCGCCCTGGGCTGGGAACGTCGCCGAGATGATGGAGCCAGGCAGTGTTCCCACTGAGGTGAGAAGGGCGAGTGGAAGGCCACTCCACAGTGAGGTTCTAGGGCCACACTGGACCCAGATGTCCTCCAGAGTCCCCTCTGCCTGCTTCCCAGCTCTTCGGGGCCTGGTATATGCCGTCTTCTCTGTATTATAGGGAAGACTTTTCTGGAGTGCTCCCTAAGGTCTACTCCAGGCATCATGTGCTCCTGACACATGTGGATGCCCACACTGCCTCAGGGTCAGAACCTGCATGTGGTAGGGCATCATCCCAGGAGGCAAGGCAGCTTCCCCTCCTCTCCATGCTGAGTACGCTGCCCCTTAGGCAGGACCACACTGCTCAGAGTTGGTGGCTCAGTAATTGTTGTAATTGAAAGGACCCGTGAGCATCTATGGGGATCTGTGGGGAGGGGCGGGGGAGGGCTGTCTGGAGTCTCTCAAGTCCCACAGCCTGTCCGAGAGTGCAGGACCCTCGCTCTCCTCTACCGAGTCATCGTCGCATGCTGCAGGCTCCTTCCTTGCTTCTTTTCAGCTTTCTTTAAAAATGATCCCTTCCTACTGATGGTAAACGCTGCTTTCCCTCAGGGAACTTAAAGTCTGTCGTCAGCTCTGTTTGGCAGGGCATTTGAATTTGTCTCGGCACACTTGTGCTTCCTCTCGGATCTCTCTGTCCAAGTTGGGTTTGCAGGAGTCTGCTGTCTAGAAGTCTCTGGCTGCAGCTCCAGGTCAGGCACTGCCGTCCATCTTGTCAGGCAGTTCCTGCGCCTCAGACCCGGAGCCCCCCACAGACACTGTCTTCTCGTCATTCCCAGAGCTAAGCAACAGCGTGGCCTCCCCAGCCCTGTCCTGCAAGGCCACCTTGTCCTTCCTGACTTGCGCCTCAGGTCCTTCTGCAGTAGCTGACCTCCTGGGCTGCTGGGCCTTGTGTGCCCAGGGCTCCTTGCTTGTCCCAGCATGCCCTGGCCCCTCTGAGAGAACCTGACCTCGGGTGCACACATCACCCTTTGCTCTGTCACGCTGAGGCCTGTGTCACATTCTCGTTCCCCCATGATCTCCGTCCCTCACTCTTAGCCTGCTTGCCAGCTTCATTGCGCACCCCCGGCATCTGAGGGGTTTCTGTCCGGAGGCTGTGTCTTAGTAAATGAATGGAATCCAGATGTCAGTCACCCTGACCAAGGAAGCTTTCTCCTGTGTGGCTCAGGGTTTGCAGGGATCAGCTGCGAGTCAGGGCTCTCAGAAGCCCCAGTTCTTCATGTCTGGTGATTATGTTACCTTGCACCTCTCAGGGCCACCGGGGACTCAGGTAGGAAGGTTCAGTCTGCGTCTTTAAGGTCTCCCCAGCCTGGGTCTTTAGCTCAAGGAGACTCAACGTGGCTTGTGTGGGCCACGGAGAGAACTGGGTGTGGCCTTTGTGGATGAGTAGTCCCAGGAAACAGCACCGTTTGCATGTGACCTGACAGCCGCACAGCGGGGCACAGCGGCTTGCACAGCGGGGCACAGGGGCGTGCACAGCAGCGTGCAGGTGAGAGAATGTAGGGAGCCGTGGTCGGTGACGGTGGACGGGTCAGCGAGGGGTGGGGAGCCAGGCGCCTGGTGCGCACATGCTCCGACAGAGTGCGTCTTCCAGCTCCTCCAGCACAGCAGGGCCACGCACTGATCCCCACAACTTGATTTCTCAGTTTAGGGGGTTTTTTTGTTTTGTTTTGTTTAAGGGTTTATTTTTTATTATTATTATTTTTTTAAGATTTATTTATTTATTATGTATACAGCACGTATGCTTGCAGGCCAGAAGAGGGCACCAGATCTCATTACAGATGGTTGTGAGCCACTATGTGGGTGCTGGGGATTGAACTCGGGACCTCTGGAAGAACAGCCAGTGCTCTTAACCTCTGAGCCATCCCTTAGGGTTTTATTGATCTAGTTATTCCTGTCAGGGCAGAAGGGCTGAGCAGCACGGGGCTGTGGAGCCTGGGTCTGTAAGTGCAACAGGAAGTGTTGGTCCTGAGAGGGAGTGGGTCCTGAGGGGGAGTCATCCTGAGAGAGAGGGGTCCTGAGGGGGAGGGGTCCTGAGGGGGCGGGGTCCTGAGAGAGAGGGGTCCTGAGGGGGAGGGGTCCTGAGGGGGAGTGGTCTTGAGAGAGAGGGGTCCTGAGGGGGAGGGGTCCTGAGGGGGTCACCTAGGCCTTCCTGCCTGAGGGGAGCTGGCAGAGCAGGAGATGACAGGAGGAGGGCAGACAGGAGGAGGAACAAGGTCAGTCAGGTCAGGTTACAATTCTTGTTCTGCTAAAAGGAAGCAAAGACTGACTGAGATACTCCTGCCTCAGCCTCCTGAAAGGCTATGACTATAGTTTAGGCCAGAACACCTGGCTAAGAAAAGAGAATTCAAGTGACTTCTGAACGAAGCAGCCAGAACCTGAAAGCGGTCATGGAAAGGTTTTAGCCAGGAAACTTGAACATGTTTCCATAATTCTGGAAAAATTCTAGTTATATTTAAAAGAATGCACTGTGCTCCTCTCTCCCTCCCTCCCTCCCTCCCTCCCTCCCTCCCTCCCTCCCTCCCTCTCTCCCTCTCTCTCTCTCTCTTTCTCTGTCCCCTCCCTTATCCCCCACAAATACTGTTTTTTAAATGAATGACCCAAAAGGGAGAAACAGACCAGAGGAGAAAAGCCAGTGTGGAGTGGTCCAGCCTGGGCACTGCTGAGGCATCCATGCTGGACTTCCTTAACTTTGGAATCATCCATCTTTTTGCATTTATCATGATTGACCACATGCATCTAAAACCTCCTTGTTGCTTTTAGGTATCCGAGACAGGCAAGGAGCGAGGTGGGTGCTGGGAGATTCCCGTACTTACCCAGCATCCAGGGTGAGCGTCAGCCTGGCTCAGAGCTTCAGGCCCCGGCCGAGCCTCCTCACTGTCTCTTTCTTCTTTGTCATATTCCAGGTGTTCCACTGTGTCCACTTTGAGTGTCCAGAGCAGCAGAGCAGCCAGAAGGAGGAGGGCAGCGAGGAACCGGGGACAGGGGGCCCCAGCACCCCCAGTCAGCAGCTCGAGCCCCACGCACTGCGAGCACCCAGCGCCAGCTCACTACCCCCGAGTCCGGGCCCCAACTCGCGCTCACCCAACCAACAACACCAATAAAGGAGGCGGAGGACGTGGTGTGACTTGGGTGGGCCTGGGTAGAGCAGGAGTGTGCCCTCCCCCGTTCCTGGGAGGAACAGACCTGGCTGCAAAGACCACCCCAACCAGGTGTTCCCCAGGGGACAGAAGGGCACCCTTTCTCCCCACTCTTCAGGCAGTCTCCAGGGGGAGGAAGTGGGTCTTGATTCTTCAAGTCCACCATCAATCCTACCTCTAACGTTACCAAGGTACCAGTGCAGAAGGAGTCTGTAGACAAAGGGAACCCTAGGCCTTGACAACCAGAAAAGGGCCCAGCCCCAGAGGGTCCTCTCGGCGGGCGGCACCTGTTGCCCTGGTTACTGGGTGGTTTGTAGTTGTGTGGTTTCTCTCCATCTGCTGAGTCATGGTGTTGCAGGCTTGTGGAACTTCTCTGGCCCTCTGCAGGGACAAGGGTCTTCCTCAGTCTCCAGTGTGTGCATGTGGACAGAGCAGAGGCTGTCCCTCCTAAACGAGCCCAGATGTATCTCATCATGGCACTTAGCCTGACCAGGAAAATCCTTGAAGTTCAACCAGACGCACAATGTGCAAATCAATCTGTGGACACTGGAGTTAATAATTGATCAAATTGCCACTTTATTAACCCGTCATTTCTGATGTGTACAAGCCTTCCAGTCTGGGAGGCCAGCGTGCCAGCTGCTAGAGGACCACTCAGAAGCCTGTGTCGACAGGCACTGGGCAGTCCTAGGCTGGCCCTGCTGGGCCTCATGGCTCAGCTGCCCTTGGCCCTGGCTCAGCCAACAGATGGGGTGTCAGGAGCACAGGCCTGGGACTCTGTGGCGAGTCTCTCCAGCGTCATCCACCTGGGGATGGCGAAGAGCACTTTGTCTTTGACTAGTGCAGCTCCCCCGCCCAGCTCTCTCTGTCACCTCCATGCACAACTCCTGCCTCTGCACCTCCTTGTTGCATCCTGAGGCCCCGTGAAGTCACCTTAGCACTTCCTGTGAGCATGCTCAGAGGAGGGTGGGGCTTCGGGTCCCGTCCTGTTCCAGAAGTGAACAGATGGGTCATCCAGCTTTCTCTGAGCTTGACTTAATTGGAATGGGTTGTCCACACTGAAGAGGTGGCAGTGGGGACCTCAGGCTGCAGTGAGGTGATCCTCCTTTGAGTTCAGGCCTGGGGGTGAACTGGCTTCATTGCTGTGTGGTGTGGCTGCTTCTGGTAAGGAGGCTTCCGTGGATGGATGGCAGGGTGCAGCCACTGTGTACGGGGCGCTGCTCTTGGCAGCATCCAGCCCCCAGTTGCCAGTTAGCCTGGGGGACTGCCTGCTCAGCATCACTGGCAGGCAGGACCCCCTGCCAGTGCACAGGGTACCCCGATCTGTGGAGGGTGGAGTTTGTGTCTTGGAAGATGATGTGTGAGGGCTTGTTTTGTTCTTGTTCAGTTACTTAAGATAGATCCTCCCTCTGTAGCCTAGGCTGGCCACATTCATGGCAATCCTCCTGCTTCAGCACCCTGAGTTCTGGGCTTGTAGTTATGAGTTAGCACATGCTGCCATACGCCTTCTTTGTGAACATGGAAGGCAAGATGCAGGCCTGGAGCCCAGCAGCCCCCGGGGCAGTGTGGCTGAGCTGGCAAGAAGCCGTGTTGTCCACCCCAGATGTCACCCCACACCTGTAATGGCAGCTCATCCACCATCTCAGACCCACACCCATGGCTTCCTTTCTCCCTTCGGACAGTGTTGCGTATTCAGGTTGTAACTAGAGACTCTGGTCCCTTCCGTGTCGGCAATGGCATGGTGCCCTCCATCGCATAAGCAGGAGGGGGATGGGACCTCAAAGTCACAGGTGCCATTGGGGAGTTCTGAGAACCATAGCAAGCCCTCAGTCATCTGAGATGATCCCATGGCCACCTCTGGGGAGCCTTTCTTGGATTGACACCTACTTAGGGTGCAGGAGGATGTGGTTGGCTTACCTCCCACCAGAAAAGGGAGCTCACCCTTGGTGGGCATGCTGATGTGCCTAGAGGCCACAGCTACATCTAAGGTAAGGTCCACATTTCCAGAGGACGGAGCCAGAGCCTGGCTTATCCCTGCTTGTCCCCTGCAGGATTCTCCCCTGGGGCCAACAGGCTGGCAATGAGACTTGAGTGTTGAGCTGAACTTAAGTGCTGACGGCAAGTCGGGCTGGCTGGAACTCAGAGGATCCTATGCACCAAGCAGCCCTGGCACCATAGGTGGATTCTGACTCTGAGGACCCTTTGGGTGCCAAGGAGCCATAGTCAAGCCATAGGGGACAGGCAGTGTGAGCCATTGCTCCCTCAGGCCTGCCCTTGCCCGTAAGGTCAGCAGTGTGTAAACACAGCCAGGTGGCTCGGCTTGGAGAGTGGCAACCATGTGACGCCTCTGGTGCCAGCTGTGAGGTGGCACCTGCACCAGGTCCCCTGGGTTCTGCAGAGCCCCGTACCTCCTTTTGATCATGTGCGTTAGGATGGCAGGTATCCTCGTTATGGCTTTTGGAAGAAGTGTTCAGTGTCACCGACAAGGGCTCCCGGGGGACCATTTGGGGTGCTGGGCAGGGCAGTTTGGGCTGTGGGGTAGGTTTGAGGGTAGATGCTGTCTGTACAGTGGCTTCCGGCAGCCACAGAGGCGGTCTCACTCTCGGGCTCAGAGTCTCCTAAGGCCTCGGTACTTTTCCTGGTGTGATTTTAGAGTCCCAAGCCCATTGTAGGCATGGGCTCTCCTCAATGGCTCTCTCAACTGTCACTTTTTCACTTATTAAATGAAGTGTCAATTCCTGACAAATACATTACAGGTGTTTTATTCCTAGAAGACCTAGGAAAAGAAAATTCTTTTCAGCGAGAGAGGGATGTGATCGTTAGATTGGTTCCTTGCCCCCTCCTCATGAGTTTTGAATTGTGCAAATCGCTCAGCAGTTGAGCCACCTCCAGACCTCTGCGTGCACAGCTACCCAGCCCATCTCCCGTTCCTTCTAACTTAGAAGATAACAGAACTGTAACCACAGCCTCTGCGGGCCACAGGAAGAGGGTGAAATCTACGGCCAGAGTGGGGCTCGGCGCTCACTGAAGTGCCTCAGGCCAGCCCGCGATGCAGATGTCCCTCTGGATGGGCACAGAGATGCCAGGGAGGAGAAGAGCCTCCTAGGAGGTCCCCCCTGTCGCCTTGCCTGGTGTGGTGAACGGAGCCCCAGGGCATTGCTGAGGTGGCCTGGCGCTGTGGGCACTGGCCGTGCTCTGGTGATTTTGCAACATGACCATTGATTCTGAGGATTTACCCTGACAGCTCTGGCACGAGGTGAGCGCTTCTTAGTGGTCCTAGGCACTACAGTGCCCTGGGATACCAAGTGGAGCACCCCAAGCTCAGGGTTCTGGGGTGGACAGAAGGGAGGGGAGTGGCTGAAGCAGCCGTGGGCTGCTGGAATGCATCCAACTCTCCTCTGGATGAGGGCTGGGACATCCCTTTCACTGGGTGAATGAGGGGCCGTGAACCTGTGTGGGCTGCACTTCACTTCCCCAGGGTAGGGAAGAACCCCCCCCCCCACACACACACACACACACTGCTCCTTCCTGCCTGTTTCTCATCCCTCACTTTGGAAAATGCACAGGAATGAATGCTTGTTCCAGAATACACTTTCAGTCTAGCAGAGGGCAGGGCAGGGCCTCTGGCTGAGCCACTCCTGGCCTGGGTCTGTAGCATCACATGTTCCTCTACTGTCCCCTCCCCACACCCCCTCCCCACCTCTGCTGCTAGAGGTCAGAGTGAGTGGGGCTTCTGGACAGAGTTCCCACCCCCAGCCAAGGACACAGTCACCCCTGTAACTTATGATTAATGTCCTCTCAGTACTTGCTGTTTGCAGCTGGAGTATTTAGAGCCCTGGGCAGTTAGCCAAGGTGGAGTGGTGGCCAGGAGCCACACACCTGTCCCTGCCACTGTCTCCAGCCTCTGTCTTCCCAAGGGCTAAGGTTGTCTGTCACCTTTGAAAGACAGTGGCAGTGGCTCTTCCTACTTTGGAGGTGACAAAGCAGGGTCCTCAGCCTATTGAGGGAGACCAGCAGTGTAGAGGCCTGAAATCAGGGTACTATCTGTGAGTCCCAGGGGTTACAGCCAGGGACAAGATGTGGTCAAAGCAGTGCTGGAGATGTGACTGAGGCTCCCCCGACAGCCCCTGGTGGCTGCTTCAGGCCCATGTTCCACCCCCTTCTATTGTAGCTTGGCATGGGGACAGTGCTGGTGCCCAGCCGTCACAGGGATAGTCCCTCTAAAATAGGCTTCAGGCCATACTCCTGTAAGGATAGAGGGAAACTCAGCCAGGACTGCTGGGGTCTTGGGAACCTGGGCCAGGGAAGATCTGCGTCTCAGATGACCTTCCTAAAGTGGCCTTTTAGAACACCATGCCAGCCCGAGCCAGGAAACTCCTTGTCAGGCTGGCCTGGGACTGATGTCCCCAAGGCCACTTTATACCTCCATACCCATCCCCAGTGCCTGGGAAAGCAAGGTAGGCACCTTGGGTTGTGCCCTTGGAGGGTGGGTGGGTGACAGCCCCATGGGTGGCCATGGACAGTACCTGTGAGCCCCTGTGACCAAGCTTGTGTAGACTGGATTTTGCAGAGAAGATGAGCCACCATGCCTACCATTCCTGAGCCTGTGAAGATGGTGAGTGCTGTCCCCATACTCCTCCTGGGGCCTCTTGGAGGTTGGACAGCGGGGATCATGTTAGTCCTAGGCATGGCTCTCTGAGGACGTTCCCAGGGCAGCGTTGGGAAGGTGTTCCTGGGGTGCTGCGGCACCCTCACTTGGTAAGCTGTGTGCACCCACAGTTCATTGTGTGTGCAGTGCCACTGTGGGCTCAGTGCAGGAATAAAGCGATGACCTCACACCTTGTCTGTGCCTTCCTTTCTCCATCAGGATTCCCAGCTCTGTCTCTGCGACAGGACCCTGTTGGGGACGGACACACACACACACACACACACACACACACACACACACACACACACACACACCACTCAGAACTCAGTCCCTATGTTGTGAGGTCAGGGTAGCTGGAATCCCACTCATCCCACCCCAGCAGCACCTTTTAGGGTGCAGCAGCCCTCCCAGCTCTGTGCGCCTTCTCTTGCCACCCTGTGGCCTAGCAGATGCCATTTTAACTGTCACCGTGAACACAAGTTCACTTTCTCCCTTTGAGTGGACTCGGCTCCAACTGTGCATCTTTGTGACAAACTAGGAGCTGGTGACTGCTGTGTCCTGCCTCAGCTCTCACACCTGTTACCACTCATGGGCCCTCTTCTCCAGTACCAAGGGACGTCCAGAACCCTTGCTGAACTGAGGATGGCATGGTCACAGCAGACTTCAGTGGGAGTACACAGATGGATGTGCATCTCTCGGTGCGTCCCTAGGGACGCTGTGCTCAGGTATCGGAGTTCCTGTTCACTTTGCTCAGGTTGGCCTGGCAGTGTCAACTAGGTGCACCACAGCCCAGGTGGACTCCCACAAGTGACAGCTGAGGCAAGCTGACTGAAGTCTAGAGGCGTGAGGAGGCCCTGCCTGGCTGGTCCCCAAAGTGGGAGCCAGGGGCAATTCTGAGAAGTGACTTGCCCATAGATCATGCCTACAGGTCACTGTAGGGGACAGGAAGGGACCGGTAGGAGGCTGTGAGTTCCATGGGATGCACCCTGCATCAGCTCAGAGGGAAAGCAGACCAGGAGTCCCTTGGAATGAGCCCAGACTTGAGGGGCACCAGCAGGTACTTAAGGAAAACCACAAAAATGCCGACTGGTCCAGTTCACACGGAGGGGAAAGAAAACTCACTTCCTGAGGTGACTCATGGCCAGATGAGGATGCTGCCAGCCTCCATACAATAGCAGATGGAGAGTTGCAGTTTGCAGAACATGATTACCATCGTGTCAGTTTCCGCCTGGGCCCAGTTGTTTCTCTGTTGGAGGGTAAGCTACAGCTGCAGCCAGGCAAGGCGTCCGTTTCGTTTCTGAAAGGTTGACATCACCCTTACAGCTCATCCACACCAGCAGAGGGGAACTGCAGGTGAGTCAGTGTCCTATGTCCCCACTGATTACCTCAGCAGAACTGAGGGGAGCCCACCCCAGGCAGACCAGGCTGGGGATACACAGAAGGGATGAGCAGGCAAGAGAGGGCGAGCCCTGCACCACAGCAGCCGGAGCCAGGGTATTACCAAGTACCTTAAACATCACTTACTAGGTACACTCAAGTGCAGGGTTTGAAATGGTGCCCTCGGTTGATTACTGTGCACCATGTACTGGGACAGAGAACTCGCCTGTGGTGGTTTGAGAATGCCCCCCCACCCATAGGCTCCCATATTTGAATGTCTGACTCCCAGTTGTGGGACTGTTTAAGGTTTAGGAAGTGTGGCCTTGCTGGAGGTGTGCCATGGGGATGCACTTTGAGGTCTCAAAGGCCCTTGCCAGGCCAGTTTCATCCTCTCCGCCTCCTACTGATCAGGACGCAAGCTCTCGGCTACTGCTCCAGCACCATGCCTGCCTGCAGCCATACTTCCCACCATGATGGACATGGACCTCTGAAACTGTAAGCAAGCCCCAACTTAAATGCCTTTTTCTAAGTTGCCTTAGTCATGGTATCTCTTCACAGCATAGAACAGTGACTGAGAGAAGCTGGTACCAGGCCTTAGGGTGCCCTGACCATGCTACTTGTTTGGACTGTGGATTAGGAAAGCAGTTGAATACTGTTAAGTGGGGCTTCATGGGCCGTCCTAGGAGTGTGGGACAGGGATGCTGAGAGCAATGTGCAGGGGAACGTATTAGCAACTGGGCAGGAGACCATTCAGGCCATGTTTTGGCAGAATGTGGGTGCTTTACACCCTTGTCCTAAAAATCTGCTTGAAGCTACATTCAGGAATTCTGGGCTAATGACAATGGCAGAGGAGACTGAAGACACTTAGTTTTGACTGTCACGTGGTTATTAGAAGTTACTCTCAGCAGATCTATAGCGAAAAAGAAGCGGGACAGAAGATATAAAAATGTACAGTTTGGGAATGTGCCTGACTTAGCACCTACCAGCCAGCCTCTCTGCTCTCCATGACACCCCACTCCCAGGTCCACAAGAGGAAGCTCTTTGGCAGCTTCATGAGGTCATGCAGTATTTGTCTCTGTGCCTGGCCTACTTAACATGACACTTAGGTTCATCCATGTCGCCGCCACAGGGACAGGATTTCAACCTCTTTTGTGGATGACTAACACACCATCATGTAACCATGATCTCTTTGGGCACTCTGCAGATGGACACTGGCTGGTGTCTGGGCTGTTGTGAACAATGCCCCAAGCACAGACATGCAGGTGTCTCTTCATTTCTGGGGACTGCTTATCACATGTCTGTCTGCAGTGTTTCCATGATGGCTGTACCAGCTGACGCTCCCTCCAAGTGGTTAAGGCTTCAATCTCCTGTTAAAATAGCCGTCTAACAGGTGAGCTGGTGCATCATGTGGTTTGGGTATTACCAAGTTTCTCGCCTGTTGATCCTGCAGCTTCTCAGAACCATCTAGTGAGGTAGTTTGCTCATTAAAAGTAATTTTTTTTGCGATTGTTTTCAACTAAATTTAACTGACACACAAAAACCCATCAAGTGGTCCATGTCTACGGGGCACCTGTCCATCAGGTGGTCTGTGTCTATGGGCTCCATATCTATGGGGGGGGGGGGGGGGCGTGTGCATCAAATGGTCCATGTCTAGGGGTGCGTGTGCATCGAGTGGCCCGTGTCTAGGGTGCGTGTGCATCGAGTGGCCCGTGTCTAGGGTGCGTGTGCATCGAGTGGCCCGTGTCTAGGGTGCGTGTGCATCGAGTGGCCCGTGTCTAGGGTGCGTGTGCATCGAGTGGCCCGTGTCTAGGGTGCGTGTGCATTGAGTGGCCCGTGTCTAGGGTGCGTGTGCATCGAGTGGCCCGTGTCTAGGGTGCGTGTGCATCGAGTGGCCCGTGTCTAGGGTGCATGTGCATCGAGTGGCCCGTGTCTAGGGTGCGTGTGCATCATTACATGGTCTGTATGGGGCATCTGTGCTGCTGTTCTGAATGGGGTTACGTCGTGGCAGATGGCTCTATCCCTGTGAGGTGAGCGTGTCTTCCACCTGGCACATGTCGACATTCAGCCCTGCTCTGCAGCTCACCTCAGTGGCTGTCCTTCACCGCACCACGCCCCACGTCTCGGCTTCAGTTCTTCACTTGTGACAGGTTAAGTCTTGGTCTTCTTTCCAATGGAGACCATCCTTTCAATGGTGGCAGCTTTGTTGAAAATCTGAACTGTGGCCTGTCGTGGTCAGGACTGAGCAGGACAGCTTGTCTCAGCTGGTGCCGGGTTAACCTGGAGATGGGGCAGAGCTTGGCCCCACTTGTCTGGTGCATGCCCTGAGGGACTGACCAACCTCTGTCTGAGCACATGCTCTCCCCAGCATGCTGGCCTAGAGTGGCAAGACTTGAGACATCTCAGAACATGAATTTCAACATTAAAGGGACAATCCAGAAGGGCCGGGCTGTGGCTTGGCATAAGAGCCCTTCCCCAGCTCTAGTCCCAGCTCCACATGCTCACACAACCCGCTCTTCCTGTGTGGACACCAGGGTTGATGCCTCCTAATGCCTGCGGACAGCAGTACCCCATCCTGTTGAGAGTTGTCTCTGGGCCACATGGGAAACATTACATTTTTATTTCTGCATGGATACATTTGACATCCCCACCAGGTTCGAGCTGTACACAGGGTTCTAGTTAGCCCACAGCCCTGCAACTTATTTCCCCTTTAAAAAGTAACTGTTACTACGATCCAGGAATGTTGAAGTGGCAGACTTCATGCCTAGGTCTACAAGGGCAGTGGGGGAGCAGCCTGGATTCTTTCTTTCTCTCCCTCCATCTTCCTTCCCTTCCCTTCCCCCCTGCTACTTCTCTTTCTGTTCTGTTGCCCCAGCAAGCCTTCTGCCCCAGCAGCTGGTGCTCCTGCCCCAGGCAGGCTGGCTCCAATCCATAGCACAGGGCTCCACTCTCTGATGTGACACAGGAAGGATGCGGAAGAAGGGGTGTGTTCTAAAAGCAGGACAGCTTCATGACGTCCCCAGCCACCCACAACAGTGCTAGTCCATGTGCCGGCTTGAGTCACCCCGCTGCTTCCTGCGTGGGTAAGTTGCTAGCTAAGGAGGTTGTCTTCCACTCACAGCTACATGCTACCCCACACCCTGCCTTGAGGAGCACTGTGAACCCAAACCACCTGGGTCCTATTTCCCAGGGGCCACAGGGCATGAGGTTCCTAACACTTAGGGCCTCTCCAGGAAGAGTGAGGTGGGCTCAAAGGCCCAATGTGTGCACAAGACCTGGGCTCAATCCCCAGGATAAAAAGTGAAAAAAAAAAAATGAGTATAAAATTAAGTGAATTCAAATGAGGAATGAAAATAATTCACAAGTTACAGTTTTAAAAATCTGACAAATACCCACATGGAAAAAAGCCGAACAAAGGCAAAGGCCCATGGCCTCCACACACGTGCAATGCTGCTGTGATCCTGCAGCCGGGCTGTGTCCTCCCATGATGCTTCTGACTTCTGGGCTAGGTTTAGAATCTAACACTTGTGAGCCTCAGGCATCCTGCCAAGTCAGGGGTGTTCAAAACTGCTGTCCATGGTAGGGGCTGTTCCTGCGTCCCTGACCACCCTTGCCTGGGGGACTGGGGCAGCTCTCACTGGGCAGCAGACACACTGGCCAGAATGGACTCCGCACCGACGTGCTTCAGCCCTCTGCGCTCCCTACACCTGCCAACTGCAGAAGGCGCTAGCTCTGGCCTGTGGCTCTGCTTTCCCAGGCTTGCTCCAGCCCTTCCAGAGGGGCCCCAGGGTCAGGTCTCTGGTTTTAGTCAGAG